GCCCAAAAATAGCCCTGATTGGAACAATCCTCCATGATTCTGTCTGCTCCTTATTGAAAGCTGCCCCGTGTTCTCTGGAGCATCCCGTGTGACTGCCGGGGGGCGGGGAAGGCAGAGCTTTGCTGGAGGGAATGGACTTTGCGACAGCTGGAGAAGCAAATGTCAAGAGGCTCCCGTGAGCTAAGGATCAGCGAGCTAGTTTTCCGCTTCTGTGGAGCATTTTTAGGTGAAGGAGCATTCCAAGCTGGGTCCTGAACTTTGCCAAAGAGATGTCAGGATTGGCAGGGCAGGGTAGTAGTTAGAGCATGGGATGAAGGTCTGACGGACCCGGGTTCGAATTCCCACCCAACCACAATGCTCAGTGGGTGAGCTTGGAGCAGTCACTCTCCCTCAGCCCAACCCACCTTATCTGGTTGTTGTGAAGGTACAGGTGGGGACCGTGGGGTCATTTTTTGCTGCCTTGAGCTCCCTGGAGGAGAGTTGGGATAACAATGTATAGGCAGAATTCTGGTGTATGCATTTACTGGGCAGTTCCAAAGTCAGCCTCTCTGGCGAAGGAAATGGGAACCTATAAGCCCGAACTTGGTATCAGGGCTAAGTTGGAGTCTGGTGGCACCTTTAAGACCAACAAAGGTTTATTCGAGGCATAAGCTTTCGTGTGCAAAGCACACTTCTTCAGATACCAGTATGAATGCACACAAAAGCTTATTCCTTGAATAAAACTTTGTTGGCCTTAAAGAAGAAGAGAAGAGACTGGATTGGATTTCTACCCCACCCTTCACTACTCAAAGGAGTCTCAGAGCGGCTTACAATCTCCTTTCCCTTCCCCTCCCCACAACAGACACCCTGTGAGGTCGGTGGGGCTGAGAGAGCTCTGACAGAAACTGCTCTTTTTCAAGGACAGCTGTGTCAGAACTATGGCTTGCCCAAGGTCATCCAGCAGGTGAAAGTGGAGGAGTGGGGGAATCAAACCCGGTTCTCCCAGATTAGAGTCCGCACACTTAACCACTACACCAAACTGGCTCACTTAACCACTACACCAAACTGGCTCACTTAACCACTGCACCAAACTGGCTCACTTAACCACTGCACCAAACTGGCTCACTTAACCACTGCACCAAACTGGCTCACTTAACCACTGCACCAAATTGGCTCACTTAACCACTGCACCAAACTATCCGGTGTCAGGCATGGTTGTTCAGAAACCCAGAAGTGTGTGTGTGTGTGTGTGTTTAATAAGGCTGGGTTATTTTTATAGCTCCTGGGAACTGTTTTAAAGACTTTACATTCTTTTACAAACTGATGTTCCTAAGATTATTTGCTAGTGTTCCTTTCACTTGCTACAACCTAGAACTGAACTGTGTGATGGTCAGATGTGAGTCGCAGGTCCTCCGTAATTCCCACGCATGCAGTGCCTGATTCGGATTGGTGCCGTGGCATATTTCCCCAAGCTATGTGGTCCACTGGGGAACCCACACAGCCCAGCTTTCAAGACTACAGACGTTGTCCCTGTGCTATTGAAGATCCAGCCGCGAAATTTATGAAGTATGCGGGAAAATCATTCCAATAAATTCCAATAAATCAAAACCATGCCGAGAACAGAACGTTGCTTCATGAACCCCCATGGGTTATCATCCATAGCTGGGAAAAAGATCAACAACCTCAGATATGCAGACGATACCACTCTAATGGCAGAAAGTGAAGAGGACCTTAAGAGCCTCTTGCTCAGGGTAAAAGCGGAGAGCGCAACAGTGGGCTTGAAGCTCAACATCAAAAAAACTAAGATCATGGCATCCGGCCCCATCACTCCTTGGTAAATAGAAGGGGAAGTCGTGGAAGTAGTGACAGACTTCACGTTCCTGGGATCCCAGATCACCGCAGACTATGACAGCAGCCATGAAATTAAAAGACGCCTGCTCCTTGGGAGGAAAGCGATGGCGAATCTAAACAGCATGATAAAAAGTAGAGACATCACCCTGCCAACAAAAGTCCGTGTGGCCAAAGCAATGGTATTCCCAGTAGTCATGTATGGCTGCGAGAGTTGGACTCTAAGGAAGGCCGAGTGCCGAAGAATAGATTCTTTTGAACTATGGTGCTGGAGAAGACTCTTGAGAGTCCCTTGGACTGCAAGAAGATCAAATCAGTCAATCCTAAAATAAATCAATCCTGACTGTTCCCTGGAAGGCCAGATAATGAAACTGAGGCTCAAATACTTTGGCCACCCAATGAGACGGGAGCACTCCCTGGAGAAGACCCTGATGCTGGGAAATATTGAAGGTCAAAGAAGATGGGGATGGCCAGTGCCGGATTTACGCATAAGCTAAATAAGCTACAGCTTAGGGCCTCGCAATCTGCTGGGGCCTCGAATAAAAACACAATATAAAAAATGATTTCAAATATTAAAAAGGCGTATATATTTTCATTTTTTCTGAGACCAGCTGATGTAATTTAAAACAGTAGGGGGCCTCTGGGTTTTGTATAGCTTAGGGCCTCAGCAAGTCTAAATCCGGCCCTGGGGACGGCAAAGGATGAGATGGTTAGACAGTGTCAAAGATGCAACGAACATGAAGTTGAGCCAACTTCAGAGGACGGCGGAAGACAGGAGGGCCTGGCGGGTTCTGGTCCATGGGGTCGCAAAGAGTCGGACTTGACTGTGCGACTGAACAACAACAACAACAACAACAATGTTCTTATGTTCTTAAATCAGTCAATCCTAAAAGAAATCCACCCTGACTGTTCCCTGGAAGGCCAGATAATGAAACTGAAGCTCAAATACTTTGGCCACCCAATGAGAAGGGAGCCCTCACTGGAGAAGACCCTGATGCTAGGAAAGATTGAAGGTCAAAGAAGACTGGGACGGCAAAGGATGAGATGGTTAGACAGTGTCATCGATGCAACGAACATGAAGTTGAGCCAACTTCAGAGGATGGCGGAAGACAGGAGGGCCTGGCGTGATCTGGTCCATGGGGTCGCAAAGAGTCGGACTTGACTGTGCGACTGAACAACAACAACAAACATTTCGACCCCACCCTTCCTCCCAAAAAATCAGGAGCCTGTGCATAGGGCTTCCTCCCCCTGTGTTATCTGCACAACAACCCTGTGAGGTAGGGTAGCACAGAGAGACAGAGAGAGCTAGGGTTGCCAAATCTAGGCTGGGAGATTTCTGGAGATTTGAGATGAAGCCTGAGGAGGTTGGGTTTGGGGGAGGGGAGGGACCTCAGCAAGATATAAGACCTACAGTCCACCCTCCAAAGCATCCATTTTCTCCAGGGGACCTGATCTCTGCTGTCTGGAGACCAGCTGTAATTCCAGATCTCCAGCCTCTACCTGGAGGTTGGCAACTCTGTGACTACTCCAAGGGCATCAGTGAACTTCACGGCTAAGTGGGGATTTGAACCCTGTACTTCTAAGTCCTAATTCAGCACTCTAACCTAGGGTTCCCAAGTCCCCCCCCCCCGATCACTGGCGGGGGAGGAAGGGGTGAAGGGATGAAGACTGTGGCTGAGCAGTCGGGTTAGAACAGATAAAAGGAAGTCCTTCTTCACCCAAAGATTGATTGACACATGGAATTCACTGCCACAGGAGGTGGCGGCGGCTACAAGCATGGACGGCTTCAGGAGGGAAATGGATAAACATCTGGAGCAGATGTGGCTATTATCATCAGTGGCTACTAGCCACAGTGGAGCTGTGGTGGCTCAAGTGGTTAAGATGGTGAACTGCAGGCTGTGGAAGGTAAGTAGTTCAGCAGATCGAGACCCGGGTGCCGCATGACGGAGTGAGCTCCTGTCTCATAGCCCCAGCTCCTGCCAACCTAGCAGTTCGAAAGCAAGAAATTGCAAGTAGATAAATAGGTACCACTTTGGTGGGAAGGGAAGAAGAAGAAGAGATTGGATTTATACCCCGCCCTTCACTACCCAAAGGTGTCTCAGAGCGTCTTACAAACTCCTTTCCCTTCCCCTCCCCACAACAGACATCCTGTGAGGTGGGTGGGGCTGAGAGAGCTCTGACAGAAACTGCTCTTTTTCGAGAACAGCTGTGCCAGAACTATGGCTTGCCCAAGGTCATCCAGCAGGTGCAAGTGGAGGAGTGGGGAATCAAACCCAGTTCTCCCAGATTAGAGTCCGCGCACTTAACCACTACACCAAACTGGCTCTCCTTGGCTTACTTACTTACAGCGTTCCATGTGCCTTGGTGTTTAGTCATGCCAGCCACATGACCACAGAAACATCTTCGGACAGCGCTGGCTCTTCGGCTTGGAAACGGAGATGAGCACCGCAACCCTAGAGTCGGATTCGACTGGCTTTCGAGCAAGGGAACCTTTATCTTTTTACTAGCCACAAGGAACTCTCGGTCTGGGGCAAGTGATGCTCTGTATTCTTGGTGCTTGGGGGGGCAACAGTGGGAGGGTTTCTAGTGTTCTGGCCCCACTGCTGGACCTCCTGATGGCCCCTGTGTGACAGAGTGTTGGACTGGATGGGCCATTGGCCCGATCCAACACTGGCTTCTCTTATGCTCTTAGGGTTGCTAGGTCCAGGTTGGGAAACTCCTGGAGATTTGGGGATGGAGCCTGGTGCGGGCAGAGGCCCCAGTGCGGTACAAGGCCATACAGTCCGCCTTCCAAAGCATCCATTTTCTTCAGGGAAACTGATCTCTGTAGCCTGGAAATGAGCTGTAATTCTGGGGGATCCCCAGGTCCCACCTGGAGGCTGGCATCCGTAGCAGCCACACACCCGTGGCTCTCTAATCCTACCAGAAAGAGCCGGCAGATATCCCTTGGCCCGGGGAGAGCTCGCCCCATCGCCCAGCCAAACTATTCAGGGACATTCAGTTTTTCCAAGGAGGCCTGGCTGAGTCAGGTATCCGGCCTCTCCCAGGCACCTGTTCTTGGCAGCGGGTGGAGCCTCACCTCCCTGGCGTCAGGTAACACTTGGCCTGCGAGGGAATCCGAGCCTCCTCCAGGAAACGATAGCCAAAGCGCTAAAGCGCCAGGCAGGGCAGGCGCTGCGGTCCCTTCTCCGGCTGTCTGCCTGCCTGCCTGCCTTATTTGCACAAGCCGAGATGGGAGTGAAGAACTTCTTCAGGTTCTGTCCCAAAGGCTCTTTCCTCCGCCTGAGCCAGAAATACCAGCCCTTGGGCAGCAGGGACCTGGAAGGAGAGGTAAGGGATTGTTCGAGATAAAAGGAATATAGGAAACTCTGGTAGGCTGCGACTCCTCTCTTGAGCTGGCCCTGCGGCTACTTGTTGACACTTCCATCGTGTCTCGGCTGGTCGATGGACTGCTTCATGGTACCGCCAGGTGTGGAATGGAAGACCTGAGCGTACCTTCTGAGGGTACTTGGGGACTCAGGGCAAGGAGAGGTGGTTGTCTCTGTTCTGCTGTGCTGAACGAATTTAGACAGACCGCCCACCCCGCTGAAGACACAGAAACCCCGGTCTTTGTAGATACGAGGCAGTTCTGATATCCTTTCTTGCTTCTTTTCTTGCATTGTGTTCCAGTCCTGGTGTGTTCCACGTGACTGATTCCTTTTGAAAGGGTTTAGCATTCCTATCCACCTCTTACCGGTGGTTCTGACCCGATCCACATTGGCTACCTTTCAGCAGTGGTGCAGAATCGCTGGGGTTACCATCTCTGGGCTGGGAAATTCCTGGAGATTTATGGGTGGAGGCTGAGGAGGGTGGAGTCCGGGGAGTGAACTCGGCAGGATAGAATGCCGTAGAATCTGCCGTCCAAAGCTGCCATTTCCTCCAGGGGAACCGATCTTTGTTGTCTAACGGTCTGTTGTCATTCCAGAAGACCTCCAGGCCTTACCTGGAGGCTGGCAAGCCCACTGCCCCCAGGTCATTCTCCAGGTTCCAGTAATTTATTTCTGGATGAGAGGAGTTGGAGGGACAAGTTGCATGTAATGACTCCTGTTTAGAAAGCCTAATCTAATAACCTTAGAAAGATGGTGAATTCAAATGACTGCATCATTCAACTGAACCTGGGCAGAACTACCTGGGGGGGGGGGAGGAAGGACTGCGGGGACAAAATTCCAGGGATCCCAGTCCCTCAGAGCCAGGCAACGAATGTGATTAGTTTTCTGGTACTTTGGTTGGGTTTGCAAATGTCCATCTTTCCAGTTACCACCTGTAGAGACCTCAGGCAGGGAAAGGTCTTTCCTGATACCCTCTGTTAGAGATCCAATAACTAGATCCCATAACTCTTGGTCTGGGGCAAGGGAAGCTCTGTACTCTTGGTGCTTGGGGGGGGCAACAGTGGGAGGGCTTCTAGTGTCCTGGCCCCACTGCTGGACCTCCTGATGGCCCCTGGTGTTTTTGGCCACTGTGTGACACAGTGTTGGACTGGATGGACTATTGGCCTGATCCAACATTGGCTTCTCTATGCTCTTATGTAGAGATGCCAGAGACCCAATCTGGACCCTCCAATGAACACAGCATGCACCCTATCAGTACATTATGGTCTTCCTCTAAACTCAGTCTCCTGACCACAATAACCACCTGCAGACAAAAAGAAGTCAGACTCAGCTTCCTTTTCCTTGTTAGTTTCTGAGACTTCCACAACCATTCACCCGTTAGGGGAGGGTCTGTAGCTCAGCGGAAGAGCCTCTGCTTGGCATGCAGAAGGTCCCCGGTTCAATCCTCGGCATCTCCAGTTAAAAGGACCAGGTAGTAGGTGACGTGAAAGACCTCTGCCTGAGACCCTGGAGAGTTGCTGCCAGTCTGAGAAGACGTTCTTACACGCCCAGAGAAATGCTGATCGCCTCTTTGGGGTCAGGAAGCAATTTTCTACAGGCCGATTTGGCCAGGGATCCTGGAGGCCCCCCTCCCATTTCTGGGCATAGAACGGGGTCACTGGGGGGGTGGGGGGAAGGTATTTGTGAAGGAGGTTGAATCAGAGGTCATTTCGGGGGGAACGCGGGGGAACACAGTTCCCCCGGGTGAGGTGCAGGGGGCGGGGCACACGATGAAGCCCCGCCCTCTGCTTCTGGCCACCCCGCTTCCAGCCCTCATTCAGCCAGGAGGAGGCAGGAGAAGAGGGAGGGTAAGTTTCTTCCTCCCCGCCTCTCCCCACCTCTGCCTGCCTGGGGCCAGGGAGGGCCTTGGCGGGGCTTCCTCGCACTTCTGCCGGCCTTGCAGGTCCACCGCCGGGTCCCTGATGTCAAGGGGTGTGGCATATGCTAATGAGTTATGCTAATGAGTTCCCCTAGCTCTTTTTCTACGAAATGACCCCTGGTTGAACTAGATGACCCTGGAGGGCCCTTCCAACTCTATGATGGTCCGATTCAGTATAAGGCAGCTCCACGTGTGGACTAGAGGCTTGCTTTGAGAGAAGAAAGAAAATCTCTCATAATGCCGACTTCTGCAACTGGGACCCAGCTTCGTGCTTGCAGACTGAAGACAAGGCTGGTTTCACTTCCAAATATTTTATCTGTGTTTGGAAGCTTTGCATGCCCACTCTGCCTGCCAACTGTGCCTAGTTAAACTAGCAGTTTGATTTCCTTCAGCCAATGCCCGTGCTAAGCGATCCGCTTCTTTTTACTATTATGTTTGGCTTACATTGCCTGTGGAAGGCAAATGTCAGCATGCCTGGTTAGCCCCATATTTGAATGCAAACATGCTGGTCTCACCATGTGAGTTTCCATTTCTTAGGCGGGTGCTTTTTCAGCTATCTATAAAACACATCCCTAGATGCAGAAAAGTCTTAGGGGAAGCATTTGTCTTGAAGCTCACCGTTAGCTATCCAGTGTGAATAGCCAAAGTATTGTGAAGATTAGATTACTCAAGGTGATTGTCCCTTCAACTGTTTTTCCTTTTCTCCTGCTTTCCTCATACTTCATCACGGCCTTGGTTGGTCATGACATTCATGAATCTGTCATTAATTATCAAGTAGGTTAAGTGCTTCTTTTCACTTTGTGGGCGGAACCACTGCCCATTTTAAAGTTTATTAGCACAGAGCTGTGATTGGACTATACTGGTAATAAAAATTAGAAAAAAACCTTTTAAGTGGGCAGTGGCTGTAGCCTACGAAGTGAAATTCAGTGCTTAAGCTGGCCACTCCCGGTCCCCAAAACTGATAATTAACAATTAATTAATAAATTCTGTGACTGTCCCTGTACACTTAGCCTGAGGATTGTTTTATCAATAGTATGTTATGCGGCTCCATTTTACGTACTTTTTCTTTGCCGCAGCTCACTTGGCTGTGTTAGCGACTGGGATTTTTGTTACTAGGTGTTATTGATAGGATTTATTTTTTATTGCCTTCTTGGAAGGAAGGAAGGAAGGAAGGAAGGAAGGAAGGAAGGAAGGAAGGAAGGAAGGAAGAAAGAAAGGAAGGAAGGGAGGGGGGGGGGAGGGAGGGAGGGAGGGAGGGGTCATTTCGTAGAAAAAGAGGTGCAGGAGCTCATTAGCATAACTCATTCGCATAACTTATTTGCATATGCCACACCCCCTGACATCACCGGAAGTGTGTCAGAAGGCAACACCCATCGCTCAGGCTCCACTGGACTGTTTTGGATTGCTAGCTATTGGGGGGGGGGACGTGCAGATCTGTCCTCGCAGAGGAGGGAGAGCTTGTACCTGAATAAACATTGGTCTTAAAGGTGCCACTGGACTGTTTTGCTTCTTGCTCTGACTGAGGGCTGCTGGGAGCAGGGGGCGGGGCTTGTTGCATGTTCCCACCCCCTGAGCTCCTTACTGCCGGAGCTTCGCTCTTGTGCGCTCCTGCAGGAAATGACCCCTGGGGGAAGGGAGGGAGGGAGGGTGGAGGGGGGGAAGCAATTCACTAGACTGGGGGTGTGGAACTCACTGAAAATGTGTTATTTAAAGTTCTTAAAAATCTTTAATTGTGTTTGCCTGTGTCCTTGATAAAGTTTATATGCCTCCGCTACCTGGCATTACCTTTTATGACACACGTGGCCCGGCCCCACAAGGTCTCATTTATGTCAGATCCAGCCCTCATAACAAATGAGTTCAACACCCCTGCAAACAAAGAACATTTCATGAAGAAATTGAACCTTTGCAGAACAGACTTTCCTTGCAAGCGTACATACTTTGGGATCGGATCGTGCCTGCCGAACTGGGTGTTGCTGAATTGTCTTGAGGGGAACTGGTCTGTGTAGTCCGGGGATCAGTTCGAATTCCAGGAGGCCATTGCTAAGAGGCAACATCAGGGGGAGGCCTCGAACTCTAAGCCCTGTTCGTAGGCCCTCCGGTGAAACTGGTTCTGTGTGAAACTGGGATGCTGGACTAGACGAACCACTGATCTGATCCAGCAAGGCTCTTTTTAAGTCTTTAGAAGATATATTGCTGTTTCACAGTTGCTCTGTCCTTGGCGTTTCTGGTTCCCCCCCCCCTTAAAAAATGTGTTCCTTGTGGTACCAGAAGAACATAGCAATGCATTAAGGGCAGTGTGGAACTGCGTTCCACTTCTGACTGATTTTAGGATTTTTCCGCACTGCAAAATAATCCCTCCCAAAACGGGGGGGGGGGTAATTTCCCTGGGGCTCATGTATAGAAGGGGACACTGAACATTGGCAAACATTACTCTTTTCTCATGTCTGAAATGATCAGATGTTTCACAGGACATCCAGTGCAAATCTCATCCCAGGATAATTTCAGTGCTTTGTGTTTGCCTCACACGTCATTTAATGGGCCGCTCAGTGGGAGCAGGGCCGGCTCACTCACTAGGCTTGCCTCACACGTCGTTTAATGGGCCACTCCTTTCAGTGGGAGGTTTATTTATCGTTATCCCTTTTGTGTGTGTGTGTGTGCACGCGCCTGCCTGGAAGTCATGGTCTGGTGACCCCTAGCCGGGCTTGGACATTTCAGAAAGGTGGCTTGCTATCGCCTGCCCCCTGTGTCCCAGGCCTGGTATTCCATGGAGGTCTCCCATCCAAGGACTTGCCAGGGTCGGCTCTGCTTAGCTTCTGAGATCTGATGAGACCTGGTATTTTTGGCCACTGTGTGACAGACTGGCTGATTTCGCATTAGAGCTGCCTCGACGTTGTGCCGCCGTTCGCCCCGATAGTATTGGTCAATTTCACACCCGAAGCCACGGGGCTGCATTTTGACCTGCGGCTTCGCCCGATTTCCTCCTCAAAAAACAGGATCACGAAACTGCGGGGGAAATCGGGCGAAGCCAGGAGTCAAAATGCAGCCCTGCAGCTTCGGGTGTGAAATTGACCGATAGTATTGGGGCAAACGGCGGCGCAACATCGAGGCAGCTCTAGTGCGAAATCAGCCAGAGTGTTGCACTAGATGAGCCATTGGCCTGATCCAACATTGGCTTCTCTTATGTTCTAAAGGAAGGGGTTGGTGGGGTTCAAATCAACATTCAGACTCAGGTTTCTCTGAGTCTTATAAAAGGGCCTGGGGGAGAAGCCAAGGACAAATATATCAGAGAAATCCAGTTCTGCAGCTTCCTGCTGTAAATCTCATCCCCATTTTTCTTTTCTTGTTTATCTACAGTGACCGAAAGGTCAGAAATGAAGAGTTCCAAGAGGCTGTAAGGCAGATTTGTGTTTTGCTGGGATACAGTAATTTCAAAGAAGGCTTCCCCCCCCCCCTCTGTATGAAACAGATGGGATGCTCTAAGCTGGTGGTGAGCTAAGGGCAGATTTGCACCCATCACGGGACCAATGCCCACTTTCTGGTGGACCACCTAACTACTTGCTTGGCACTAGAATTCTCGCTAAGAGTTCGGGACTTCGGCCTGATCCTCCCAGGTGCTCAGTTCTAACTGTCAGGAGATCCTGAGTATGCATGCTTGCTTTGCAAATGTGAATCGCTGGATCTCAAAGATTCCAGTAAAAACAACCACCACCACCACCAAGTGGACTATGCCAGACTGATGCCAGTCTATGCCTGCGATAGACCAGATGCAGTAGTATCTAGGGTTGCCGGGTCCCCCCTGACCACCAGTGCGGGATGAGGTAGGGTTGTCAGATCCACGTTGGGACTTCAGATGAGAAGACTTGCACGGAAGACGTTTCCAGTCCCCCAGACCTGATCTTAATACCTTACTTTAACAACCCACAAGAAGGAGGGGGGAAATTCTAATGAACAGATTCTTGTTCTCCTCTGCAACTTTCCAAACTTTTATTCCTCACACCCCACAACCAGCAGGGCAGTTTGAGCCGGACGTTCCGATTGGCCAAATCATCCGCAGCAGTGATTTGGCTGGCTCTGCAAAATTCAGGCAGTTGCGTTGGATTCTCTGCAAGAAATTTTATACCTTCCCAAGGGTGTCTCTCTTTTTTGATAAGGGTTATGCTCTGAAATCTCTAAAAAATATAATAAGTAACCCCCCGGGAAATAAAGGAGCAGAGGTGATATTTACAGCCCTCAATTCGACTTCTCCTCCTTCTGCCATAATAACCACTGATGTTGCCCTACGTGAAACTTTCTCACTGTTTTGAGGATACACTTTACACTTGATGGTTTGGGTGATAAAGAAGCTTTCTTTTGACACTCCAAGCAACCCACAGACACCATATTTATTGTTCCCATCTTCATTCGTGTTGTCTCCCCTTGCGCCCAGTTGCTTTAAGATTTTTTTAAATTAGCTCTCCAGATAGCCTTCTGTTTTTTCAGCACCTCCTTTATCCTTGGGACGATCTGAGCACTGTGGCCAGTTTTATCACAGCTGCAGCAAACCAGCCATTGAATTACAGTCCTTATTGATTGTAACTGCTTCTATTTTTCTCTCTTGGATATGAACAGCTCTGCTGGATCAGATCAAGAGTTTCATCTGCTTCAGCATCTGTTGCCAGCAGCCAGGCTGCCTTCAGCAAGTGCACAATCAGCCGGTGAAGGCAATCGTCCTCCCTCTCTGTATGTTCTTGCATCTGAGGAATGCTGCCTCTTAATATGGAGATTCCATTTTAGTTGGCAATTGGGATGGGCATGAACCGGCTGATGAACTAAAGTTTGTGGAGAGCAGATAGCAGGGGGTTCAAACTTTATATGGCTCACAAACCAATACGAACTGGGTCGGTTCATGAACCACCCTCCTGGTTCATGTGGGTTCATGGTTCGGTTCATGTTTCAGCCACAAACCATGAACCAAACTGCAAAAATGTGGTTTAATACCAAGGCTCCATTTTAGTTGGCAATAGGGATGGGCACGAACTGGCTGATGAACTAAAGTCTGTGGAGAGCAGAAAGCAGGGGGTTCAAACTTTAAATGGCTCACAAACCAATACGAACTGGGTCGGTTCATGAACCACCCTCCTGGTTCATGTGGGTTCATGGTTCGGTTCATGTTTCAGCCACAAACCATGAACCAAACTGCAAAAATGTGGTTTAATACCAAGGCTCTATTTTAGTTGGCAATAGGGATGGTCATAAACTGGCTGATGAACTAAAGTTTGTGGAGAGCAGAAAGCAGGGTGTTCAAACTTAGCTCACGAACCAATACAAACTCCTGGTTCATGTGGGTTCGTGATTCGGTTCTTGCTTCAGCCACAAACCATGAACCAAACTGCAAAAATGTGGTTCGTGCCCATCTCTAGTTGGCAATACTGAACTTACTTTCTGTACTGGATGGATTCTCCACGAATGTGTCTAATCCTTTATGAGTCTTCCCCTAGACCAGTAGTCGCCCCCCCCCCAATGATGGTAAGCCCAGAATGACCTGGAGGAGCTTTAAAGCAAGAATTAGGCAGTTGCCCATCCCTCTCGAGAGCATTTCATACCCTGTATGGTTCTCAGGTGGAACCTGCCTCTCAGTTGACCCTGGCTTGTTTCAGCTGTATCAGGAGGTAACCTTCTCTGGGCTTCAGGTGTCACACAAGAACTGGCATTTTCTGTAGGAAGAAGCGACCCTAGTGGACCCTGTTGAGACGCAAGGTGACCTGTGAATGACCCAGGAATGCAAGGAAGAGGCCTGTGGCTAAGAGCTGAACTAGACATGACCTGGGATATTCATGATTAGAATCTCCTGTTTGAACTGAGTAGTAGCCCCAGGCAGGGACTTTGAAGACTGAAACAACAGGCAAGAGTTCTTAAATCCTTCCTTTCAGTGACACCCCCCCCCCAAAGTCTCTGTCTCTTGTCTCTCTCAGCTGCAATTAGCTGCAGTTGAATGAACAAAGAGTCTCATGTACCTTTAAAAAAACTTAATTTGTTAGTATTTAAGGTGTCAGATGTATTATTGGGTAAAATATATATTTCCCCCTACGCTACTTGAAGATATGGCAAGGGGGTGGCGTCCTCAGATATATAACATGGAAAGATGGAGTACTCTCTGTGTACTCTCTGTTTCTCTCCTTTTCATCTCCCCATGACACAGAGAGTATTCCATCTTTCTGTGTTATACCTCTGAGGATGCCAGTCACAGCTGCTGGCGAAATGTCAGGTCCTACAATGCCAAGACCACGGCCATACAGGCCAGAAAAATCTACAACAGCTAATTATACTGAGAATCTGGGATCTACAGGGTGTGTTATTATCAATAACAACCGAATGGGTGAGCTTTCTGCATTGAAACGGCCTGTGAATGTTCTCGCCCTGGGTGACCCCAATATGCATTCATACATTCAGCAATCCTTGGAGTCAACAAGAAATTGACGTGTAGGCATGAGTCAAGTCAAGCTCTGTTGTAGTCACCCCACCTGTTATCCCAACTTGTTGGGGATATTCTGAGCTGCCCCTCTGTCTGCATCATCATTGTAGTATAAATTAAGATCTAGTCAAAATGAAGTCAAAATGAGGAGGAAGTTCTTGTATTTTATTGCAATGAAATACGGAAAACAGTTAGGCCAAAAGACCCATTGAAACTGACTGCTTTCTGAGCCCAATCAGGAAATACATGAAGTTAAATACTTAAAGTGACATCAGCACATCATCATCATGAGAATAATATACAAAAGGCATAATTGGTTACAGAAACTTAAACAACATTTGCATCAAAATTCCCTTATTGGTCAAAGGAAAGAAAGGTGTGCCTATGCAATAGCGTCACGTATTTACTTGACATAACCTAAGCCATATCGGCCAAGGCTTGTTCTCACCCAAACAAAAGTGTTGTTCTCTGATAGCCAGGGAAAGATTCATTGGGACCCAGACACTATGCAGTTATAGCAGTAAACAATTAGAACCATGAACCTGATATCTACTTTTGTGCGAGAAGAATGTCTCCTGTGTCTTCTGTGTCTTCTGTGTCTTGTCTGTTGACAGCAACTAGGAAAAATCCCCCTTGACCCACAAAGAAGAGAGGCTTTCTATATACTAGGCCTTCATTATATTCAAATGATACATTGGATCCCTAATAAACCTATAAAAACCTATAACAACCTGAGGGATATGAAAAAGTGAAAAACAGAGAAAAATCTATATAACCTCATCTCTACTACATCATTGAGAGCCAGTGTGGTGTAGTAGTTAAGAGTGCTGGACTACTATCCGGGAGAGACAGGTTCGAATCCCCACTCGTGCCATGGAAGCTTGCTGGGTGGCCTTGGGCCGGTCACCCCCTCTCAGTCTAACCTACCTCGCAGGGGTGTTGCGAGGATAAAACAGAGGCGGGGAGAAGGATGTAAGCTGCTTTGGGTCCCCATTGAGGAGAAAGGCGGGGTATAAATGAATGAATTAAATCAATCAGTCACCTGAACGTTTGTTTTGATTCCGCAGCCTGAAGACGAATCGGCGCTAAAAGCAGTGGAGCGAGAGAAAGATATAACAGCCCTCCCTCCCAAAGAAGCGTGCAAATGCCAAATAGATGACTTGGCAAAAATATTCCAGGTAAAATGCATAAATCTGTCACAGGGGGCTCCGCAGGAAGAATGCGACACCAAGAAGAAAGGCAGGGCTCTAGTCGGGGGGGAGCTCTCAGGTACGGAGCTCCGGAAGAGAACCTCTAGGGGGCGGGGCGGTCATGTGGTGAAGCCCCGCCCCCTTCTTTACCCCGCCCTCTGCTTCGATCCTCATTCCGTTTGGGAATGAGGATGAAGCAGGAGGGTAAGTAGCCGGGCCTTCTGACACACTTCCGGTGATGTCAGGGGGTGTGGCCTTCTGTCACTTCCGGTGATGTCAGGGGGCGTGGCATATGCAAATAAGTTATGCTAATGAGTTATGCTAATGAGCTCCGGCAGCTCTTTTTCTACAACAAGACCCCTGAAGAAAGGGATATGGGAGAGTCATGTTACTGTTTCTTAACTTCCATAACTAAACACACACACACACACACAAACGCCTTAAACTCACAACAGGCTCAGTGCTGTCTAGCAGCTGTTCAGGGCAACTATGTCAGCCATAGAAAGTTGACAAGCTGTGCAACTTCCGGGAGAGCAAATGAAAGGACAGCTATGAGGACAATCCCCCGGAAGGTTTTAAACATATTTAACACTGTCGTGATCAGCCTGGACAGAAGTATTAACTAGATAGAAATAAGTAAGGAAGACAAAAGGTCTCGTGGCTAAAGACTAAAGGGTTTCATTGTTTTTTTTTAATAAAGGCTTTATTTACTCTCCTGAAAAGGAGAGGTATTTTGCTTAAATAGAAAAATAGGGAGGGTATATAGTGGGAGAAAGAGAAAGCTGAGTGATATATTAACTTGTAAATTAATCTGTTAGTAATGACCAAATTATCTTCTTAGGCTTCTTCTGTGTGCAGTCAAACTTCTTTCTTCAAGCCAGTTAAAGGTGTTATCTATGTTAGTGTATTAGTAGTGTTCATTCGATGCTCTGTTAGTTAAAGTTTCCTCAAGGCGCATTCAGAACCGCAAGACTAAAGGGTTTCATTGTGACGTATTTGTGGAATACAACAACCCACTTCCATCTGGTGCATGACATGGTAGCCTTACAGACCCCACGTGAAGGTCTTTGGCTTTACAGTGCATGCGATTCTTTATTGGTTTTGCAACAGTAGATTGAATCCTTCAGGGATTTATTACAAGGATGAATTTTAGGTTGCCTTATTTGCTATATTTCAATTTATTGGCTCCCATGTAGTCACTTTGGGGTATTTACTATCATCATTTGTCCTCATAATGATAGTAGGCCATTTACGTTTAAGGTGTTTCACAAAGTAGCATAAGTAGAAAAGGAAGTTTTTGCCCCAAAGAGCTTCCAATCTAAAAAAAATTGACAGTGGAAGGAAATATTGAGGGGAGGAGGAGGAGGAGAAAGAAAAGGAGAATGGGCAACAGAGAAGAGGAACAGAAACATGTTTTAAATGCCCACTATGTTTATTTACATTTATTTATTTAAAATAATGGTGTCCAATGATGCTATTTCTAAATCAGTTTTCAACACTAATGGACAGAATAAAAGTGCCGCTCTATGCAGACCTAAACTGAAATCAGTGAGTTTAAACTGGAATAACCAAATAGGTTCGCTTTAGCAAGTACATTAGCATTTATTTTCCGAACACAAAAATTACCATAAAAGTAGCAATAACACAGATAACAAAGAACCCCTAATGGTTAAAATCGTTGCTAAGTGGTGCTAAAGGTCAACAGAGATATTTCAGCAATAAAAATATTTAAGGAGAACCAGCAAGAATGGATGGGCATGAACTGGAAAAATGCAGTTCATTTCAGTTCGTGGTTCATAGCCAGACCATGAACTGAACCAAGAGGTTCATTAGCAAACTGAACCAGTTTGTGGCTTGTGGCCCCACAAACAAAGGGCCCCACAAACAAAGGGACTGCACAAGAAAGCCCCCAAAATAACAAACATACAAGGGGGTGGGTTCTTTCAATTTCTTTTTATGTCTTTAAAATAAAAGAAATTAAGTTGGGGGGGGGGAAGAAAGCCCCAAAAATGGCTGAGCAGCTCAGAGGGGCTTGCACTGCTCAGCTGCTTTTGCAGTTTTCATGGGGAACAAAAAGCAGGGGTTTAAAGGGATTTGGTGTAGTGGTTAAGTGCGCGGACTCTAATCTGGGAGAACCGGGTTCGATTCCCCACTCCTCCACTTGCACCTGCTGATGTGACCTTAGGTCAGTCACAAGCTCTGGCACAGGTGTCCTTGAAAAAGAGCAGTTTGTGTCAGAGCTCTCTCAGCCTCACCCACCTCACAGGGTGTCTGTTGTGGGGAGGGGAAGGGAAAGGAGTTTGTAAACCGCTCTGAGACTCCAAGTGAAGGGCGGGGTATAAATCCAATCTCTTCTTCTCTTCTTCTTCTTTAAACCCCTGCTTCCTGCTCTATGCATGAACCACCACGAACCACTTTAAAAGTTTGTGAAAGTTCATAATGGTAGACCTGTCACGAACTTCAGTTCCCAAACCATGAACAGGGCGACATTTGTGATTAATTTTGCTTTGTGGTTCGATTCATGCCCATCCCTAGTAGGGAAGGCTGAAGGCTTAGGGAAATGAAAATCTGATAAGCACTGATGAATACCTGGAGCTACCCTCTGAAAATATTGAAGAACAGAAAATGACAATATTTTAAAAATCAGCTACTTGACTGAAATTGGTCCCCCCTTTGCTTACCACTCACAAGTCTAGATCATAGGGTTGCCAGTCTCCCAGTAGGGCTTGAAGATCTCCAGGACTTTCTGTTTGTCTCGGGATGACAGAGCCCAGTGCTGCTTTGGTGGGTGGGCTCTGTGGGATTGTACCCTGCCGAGGTCCCTCTTTAGGCTCCTCTCCCAAACCTCCAGGAATTTCCCCATGCAGAGTTGGCAACCCTAAATGTAGATGAATAAACACCCCTCTTGAAACTGATCTCCATGGATTCCCATTGCTTATTTACCTCCCAGGGCTATTTTTGGGCAGGAACGCACAGGAACGGAGTTCCGGCTGGCTCCTTAGTGGGCCACACCCAGCAGGAACTCATTAGCATAACAGGCCACACCCAAAAGCAGAAACTCATTAGGATTGGCTACATTAGGGGGGTGTGGCCTAACATGCAAAGGAGTCCCTGCTACAAAAAAAGGCCCTGGGTTTTGACAACAAACATGATAAACAGAATAAAAAGCAGAAGGTGGGTGTGGCTGGATGACCACACTTTTGGCAACACGGGGCTGTGGCCTAATATGCTAATGAGCTGTGGTGGCAGGGTGTGGCCTAATATGCTAATGAGTTCCTGCTGGGCTTTTTCTACAAAAAAAGCCCTGACCTCCACTGCAAGAAACACTTCCTCCTACTCTCTGCTCCCGCATGTTTCAATCCATTTCTAATCCACAAAAGGCCCTGCCCCATTATTTTGTCTACCGGATAACCCTTATCAGATCATCCTTGGCCTCGGTCACACGGCCAGATAACGTGGGGGGGAGGCGTGGCTGTCCGCCCCGGAGCAAAATAAAGTGCTGTAGCCTGATCACACGCCCCCCCAGGTCTCCGCTTTTAGGCTGGCGATCACACGGCGATGCCACAGCGTGGCAAAGAAGTGGCGCAGCACAATCACACAAGCATTTCGCATTTGTGCGCATGCACAGTTCCACGGAGCAGCACTGCTTTCAGTTTCATGTTTGTGTGCATGCGCTTATGAAAAACATCCAGTTTGCGATGGGACGTGGACGGGCACCGGATGCCACGGGATACTAGCGCTCCCGCGATCAGATGCCCGCCTGTGCCACGCGTTTTCCAGATACTAGTGCACTTTCCTTGGTACTTTTTAACTCCACATCTTCGGCAGGACGCCACGGGTTGGCCACGGGTGTGCTACGCTTCCCAGATGTTGCGGTGTGATCGCGCCCCGAAAATCCACCCGACATTCGTGCCTTTTGTGCAGCAAATTCTCCATGTAACTGGGGCCCTTATCTATTTATTTCTGAATCTATCTCATAGAATATCAGACAGCTGGTGAGGCAGGACTTCCTTAACTGAGGTCATGTCTTCCTCAGGAGAATACATTTCTCTTAGGACCTTATGCTGATATGATTCTCCCTTTGAATGCCTCCCAGGTAGATTTAGAAAGGGGTCTATCTGAAATTTCGGTGCTCCAACGTAGAGTCAAGCATGGCTGGAATGAATTTGTGGTAGACAACACAGAACCGATCTGGAAGAAATATCTAGACCAGGTAAGGACCTTTGGATCCATGGTCAAGGTTCTTTTTTATACTCTCCCTCTGGGTTTTGGATATGTAACAACATTTTCCATTTTTTAAAAGCTCCTGTTAGTTTAATTGGGAGGGAAGGTGGCATTATATAGATCTCATCAGATCTCAGAAGCTTAGCAGGGTCGGTACTTGGAAGGGAAACCACCAAGGAAGGCTCTGCAGAGGAAGGCCATGGCAAACCACCTCTACTTCTCACTTGCCTTGAAAGCCCCTTGCTGGGGTTGGTACTTGGATGGGAGACCACCAAGGAAGACTCTGCAGAGGAAGGCCATGGCAAACCACCTCTACTTCTCACTTGCCTTGAAAGCCCCTTGCTGGGGTTGGTACTTGGATGGGAGACCACCAAGGAAGACTCTGCAGAGGAAGGCCATGGCAAACCACCTCTGCTTCTCACTCGCCTTTGGAAGCCTCTTACTGGGGTCACCATAAGTCTGCTGTAACGTGATGGCACTTTACACACACATTGATTTAAATGAGGTGCTGCCTGAGAGTAAAGTCCCTTGGGGAAGTGTAATGGCAGCCAACAAAACATTTTAAGTAAATAAAACAGGGCAACATTACTGCTGGTGCGAATTACAGGAAATGCCGTGAGTCCAAGTACTTTCTTTTTTATTTTAGTTCAAGAACCCACTCATCCTTCTGCTGTTGGCCTCTGCTTTAGTCAGTGTTATTACTAAAGAATATGAAGATGCCGTCAGCATCACCATGGTATGTGATTTCCTCCTGTTACAGATTTAGACTGGGTGTTCTGGATCTCAAACCATGTCTGAGATCCTGAAAACCAGGTTCCCAATTTGGAAAGTGCCCAATTTGGTCACCTGGCCAAGGAGGTCTTGGTCTAATCAGTGACTGGCAGAAGGCATTTGAGGACCCCTCCCTCCTTGACTAGGGTTGCCAGTCTCTTTCTTTTTTGTTTTAGTTCAAGAACCCACTCATCCTTCTGCTGTTGGCCTCTGCTTTAGTCAGTGTTATTACTAAAGAATATGAAGATGCCGTCAGCATCACCATGGTATGTGATTTCCTCCTGTTACAAATTTAGACGGGGTGTTCTGGATCTCAAACCATGTCTGAGATCCTGAAAACCAGGTCTCCAATTTGGAAAGTGCCCAATTTGGTCACCTGGCCAAGGAGGTCTTGATCTAATCAGTGACTGGCAGAAGGCATTTGAGGACCCCTCCCTCCTTGACTAGGGTTGCCAGTCTCCAGGCGGGAGCTGGAGGTGTCCTGGAGTTGCAGCTGGCCTCCAGGTAACCAGTTTGCATCACAGGGGTGTGGTGACAAACGTAATATTTATTCATTGTCTACTGTTTTTTTGCAACCCGAGTCATAAACAGCAAACGGTCTCCAGGTAACAGAGATCAGCTCTCCTGGAGAAAGTGGCTGCTTTGGAAGGTGGCCTCTATAGCATTAGACTCCACTGATGTCCCTCCCCAAACCCCGCCTACCTTAGGCTCCACCCCCCACCCAAATCTCCAAGTATTTCCCAACTCAGAGCTGGCAAACTATCGGGAACATTTTATAACATTTACCCATTTTTTCTCCCTCTCCACCCCTTAGGCTGTGATCATTGTGGTAACTGTGGCTTTCATTCAGGTATGCTCTTTTTCGTAAACATCTTGTACATCTTTGTCTGCTCCTTTTGCAAATGCAAACTGATCTGGGGGCTCCTTCCTTCCTAGGAACACCGATCTGAAAAGTCCTTGCAAGAGCTTAACAAGTTAGTCCCGCCAGAGTGCAACTGGTAAGGCTGTTAATGACCTTGTCTTGTTGTACTGGACAAATGCCTTGAATGAATGAATGAATGAATGAATGAATGAATGAACGAACGAACAAACAAACAAACGAATGAATGAATGAAGAAATTATTGATTCATTATGGTCAAAGGCCAGCTCAGGAATAAATACGATACTAGCCATGATACATTTAAATGTTACATAAAGGTAAAGGTAAAGGTTCCCTTGCTCGAAAGCCAGTCGAATCCGACTCTAGGGTTGTGGTGCTCCTCTCCGTTTCAAAGCCGAAGAGCCAGCGCTGTCCGAAGACGTTTCCGTGGTCATGTGGCCGGCATGACTAAACACCGAGGGGCACGGAACGCTGTTACCTTCCCACCGAAGCGGTACCTGTTTATCTACTTGCAATTTCTTGCTTTCGAACTGCTAGGTTGGCAGGAGCTGGAACTAGAGATGGGAGCTCACTCCGTCATGCAGCACCCGGGTCTCGAACTGCTGAACTACTGACCTTCCACAGCCTGCAGTTCAGCGTCTTAACCACTTGAGCCACCGCAGCTCCTAAATGTTACATAAATTTCATTAAAATGAGTAAACATAATGCATTAGATCAGGAGTCCCCAGCCTTTTTGAGCCTGTGGTCACATTTCAAATCCTGAGACAGCCTGGTGGGCGCAGCGACAAAATGGCGGCCACAAAATGGCTGCCACAGGAGGCGGACCCAGCCACAAATTATTCCACAGCTTAACTCCAGTAACACATATGCAGCTCCTTATGCTGTGGTGACAGCTTCTGACAAACTAACATTTGAAAAAAAAATCTGCATAGTCAATCAGATCTTCAATAGCCAATCAGAAGCCTTGCTGGGTGGAAGTCCTACCTGGCCCCACCCACTCCCTAGAAACACTTGGCAGGTGCCAGGAAGGGTGTTGGCGGGTGCAGTGACTCCCCTGGGCACTGCGTTGGGGACCCATGCATTGGAATAATATAGAATGACAAGAAGTTCTAACAGCGGCACTGGAAAAATGTTTTCTTCATGCAACTCTTGGCCACCATTAATGGTTGTAGAAATCATCCGGGAGGGAGGAAGCCAGACTACATAGTCTTGCACAGATATGCATGGGTTATGGGCAAGCCTGATAGGCCACTAAGGGTGCAAAGAGATGTAACAGAGAGCATGGGCACTGTTCCCTCTAAGCTGAGTGAGTGTGAGTTAACTCACAGTTTTTTTAGCCTCCGGCTCATGCATTTTTGTCTCAGCTCCGGGAGGTGGGCTCCAGAGCACACTACTTTTTGCAGTAGCCCAATCGCTCGCTCACAACTTTAATGCCAGGAGCTCACAAAGTAGGATTTTTGCTCACAAGACTCCACAGCTTAGAGGGAGTCTAGATCATGGGACTTCCATCGGTCTGTGAAAGATAAATATCAGGCATGCACACCTACCATTCAGATTGGAGCCAAAAATGGGAGAAGAGGGGGTTGCCAGTTCTGGACTAGGAAATAGCTGGAAATTTGGGGGGGGGGCTGACGAGGGTGGGCTTTGGTCAAAGGGAGGGTCCTTAGTAGAGTATAATGGAGGCTGGCGACCATAGGTTAGACCCTTCAAGCCCTGCTCAGTTTTGCTGATCAAAACCAGGCTCCTTGCATTGTTGTCAGCATTTTAAAGGACCTTGGGGGGAAAAAGAATACATCTTTTCCCTTTAAAATTCTGACAGTGGTGAAGAGATCTATCCCAGTTTCAGTGAGCAAAACCGAACGGGGACCAAAGGGTTAAAGCCCCTTTCCTCGTCGGGATCCGAGTCCGGATCATGGCTTGCATGCGCCGTTAACCTGCTAGAGACCAACAGAGAGCTGTCCTCTTTGCTACTACCTCTCTTGGAGCCCCGCTTGTCAACAGGAGCCGCTCACAAACTTCAATTCCCATTTGCCCTAGCAGGAAGTCCTGCCAGAGGAGATTGCAAAGAGTAATTTACGGGAAAGATAAGCTCCCCTCTACCTTCTGTTTCTCCTGCCAACCTAGCAGTTCGAAAGCAAGAAATTGCAAGTAGATAAATAGGTACCACTTCGGTGGGAAGGTCACAGCGTTCCGTGCGCCTCGGTGTTTAGTCATGCCGGCCACATGACCACGGAAACGTCTTCGGACAGCGCTGGCTCTTCGGCTTTGAAACGGAGATGAGCACGCAACCCTAGAGTCGGACTCGACTGGCTTTTGAGCAAGGGAACCTTTACCTTTTTACCTTCTGTTTCACTATCGTGGGCAGTACATTACTCCTCTTCTCTTCCAGTTTTTGTTAAGTCTGAGGTTGGCGAAGGGAGGAAGAAACTGGTCTAGAAGAGGAGACGTGCCTGTTGGATTGAAAATATTGTCTACTTACCAGTTGGACTGTTGAAAAATTACCTGTATAAATATTGGTTTAACCTGTGGGAGTTTTCTAAACACTGCATCTGCCGTATTATTGAGCAATTGTAGGCTTACCTGTTGGATTGTTGATAACTTACCTGTTGGACTTCTGGGGGAAAATTAGGACTTTCCAGCTGAAATTTTGTAACTGCTACTTAAGTGGTATTCTTAGTTGTATTACTACCAGTTATACTTGCGTTGCTCATTAGTAAATTGTGCTATATTTTTTCTTAGCATCTTTTTGCACAGTTTTCTTTGATCTTTTCATGTTTACTGTGTAATCGCTGATTGTTTCCTAGAAGAGGAGCCCCACGCATGTTTACATGCATGCGCACATTTTGCCAATTGTGCACTCGCACATCTGCATTTTGCAGTCCTCCCCTCCAACATCTGGAAACAGACAGCGAGCACCATTGAGCAGCGTCGGGTCAGACGAATGGGAGGGTCTGCTTATCACTGTTGATTCATGCCCTGTGTTGAGTCTGCTTGCTTAATATAAACGTTTGTTACAGAGGCGAACCAGATCCTGTCTTAACCTGTCGGCTATATATATATTTTTTTATCTTTCTGACCCAACTGAGGTGTGTTGAAATGATCCGCTTGCAGGGATTAGCTCCCTTTTCCTCCTTGACTATCAGGAGAAAATCTGCTTTTTAAAAAGGCCAGTGCAAATACATACTGCCTTTGGTGGCTGTTATTTCTGTCCAACTCAAAGGCAGCTTGTTTGTCTTTCAAGGTCAAAGAACACTCAGCTGGCTTCTACCCCCACCTTCCTTGTTCCTTCCAGTGAGTTTCAAATCAAGACACACCTTCAAGACAGAAACACAATCTGTTTGGAGTAACCACATTTCAAATTGCCAAATATAATTTAAGGGCTCCCATCGCCTGCCAAGTGCTTGAGCCTACTAAATACGCACACAAACGGGCTTTCGGCCAAGTGTTCAACGCTCCGGCCAGCACAAGAATTCCTGCTAGACGGCAGCTTGAGAGCTTAAAGGTGCTTTAGGATGGAAACCAAACACCACAGTTCCCTCCACCTGTTCTTGATCGGGTTGTAGATCAGAGAATGTAATCTCTTATCAAACGCTGGGTTAAAACTAATATATTAAATTAGATCCTTAATATTTATGAGCGTGTCCCAGAAGTAATTTCATCTCAGGGGCTCTCAGCAACCGTTTCCCCCTCCAGATATATTATGTGTGATGTTTCCTGGTGTGTTGACCATATTAATCGGTACTGGGAATATGAATGCAAAAACAGTGTTATCGCCGCCGTTCTGTTTAGAGATTTGTTTCAAGCGGGTAGTCTGTACTTGCGCTTGTTCGTTTGCCGTCAAGTCACAGGTGACTTATGACGGACGACCCTGTAGGGTTTTCAAGGCAAGAGCAGGGCCGGCTCCAGCTTATTTTGCACCCTAGGCGAGGATCCCTTCTCCCCCCCCCCCGTGCGCCCACCAATCTTCAAAAATAAACGCATTTTAGGAAGAATGAAAAACAAAAATAATCAAGAAACTCCCAGAGTACGGGGCCGGGTGCAGTTTGGTGCCCCTAAGGGCCGTCCCGCTCTAGGCGATCGCCTAGTTCGCCTAGTGAGTGAGCTGGCCCTGGGCAAGAGATGTTCAGAGGTGGTTTGCCATTGCCTGCCTCTGCGTCATGACCCTGGTATTTCTTGGTGGTCTCTCTTCCGACTACTGACCAGGGCCGACCCTGCTTAGCTTCCAAGGTCTAATAAAATCAGTCTAGCCTGGGCTATACAAGTCAGGGTACTAATCTGTAGTAAAGGTAAAGGTTTCCCTTGCTCGAAAGCCAGTTAAATCCAATTCTAGGGGCCGGTGTTCATCTCCATTTCCAAGCCGAAGAGCAGCGCTGTCCAAAGATATTTCTGTGGTCATGTGACTTGCACGGAATGCTGTTACCTTCCCACCGAAGCGGTACCTATTTATCTACTTGCAATTTCTTGCTTTCAAACTGCTAGGTTGGCAGGAGTTGGGGCTGGAGATGGGAGCTCACTCCATCACGTGGCACTCGGGTCACGAACTGCCGAACGGCAGACCTTCCAGTTTGCAGCTCAGCGTCTTAACCCCTGAGCCACCGCGGCCCCTCAGTCTGTAGTAGCAGAACAAAATTCAAGTCTAGTAGAACCTTCATGATCAGTTCTCCTGGAGACAAATGGCTGCTTTGGAAGGTGGACTCTATAGTATTATGCCCCATTGAAGTCCCTCCCCCTCCCCCAAACCCCACCCTCAGGCTCCACCCCCAAAATCTCCAGGTATTTCCCAACAAGGAGCTGGCAAATCTAGGTTTTGTGCTATTGGTATTGTAAGACTGTCTTGGGACTTTTCCCCTTTCTCCAGACCACCCCTCTCCCAAAGGAGTTTACAATATCTAAACTTATTTTTGGCATAGATCATGGCTCTGAGCTTTTTTGATTCCTCCA